GCCCGCACCCCCGACTCCCAGGTCCCCCCGCCGGCCGCCGCAACTCCATAAGCTGTCGCCCCATCGTGTGACTCGCGCTCGTCTGCCGCCCGCCGCAACTCCACAAGCCATCGCCCCATCGCATGACTCGCTCTCGTCTGTCGCCGCCACACACGAATGCGAACAGGAGGAGGCCAAGAGCGACGCCTCTCTCTGCGCTGGAGGTAGGAGATTAGGGTTGGGTAGGGTTATGGGGATATTTTGGGCCTTCTTAGTCTCTTGGGCCTTCTAAAAATCTCAGACAAAGTCTATCTTAGCTCCTCTCGGGATTAAAATTGTAGGGGGATATTGTGGGGGCTTTAATGGTTCATTACGGGGTAGTGGTGGCTCAAGCCCCCACCGCCCCCACGCTGTCTCCGCCACTGCTGACGGTGATACAACGAAGGCTGGCAGTCGCCATCACGGCCTCGGACGTCACCGTCATCGAGACGGATACTCCTACAGTTGAGGTACAAGAAATTAATTACAAGGTAGTATATGGTCGTGTTTAGTTCCAAACTTTTTTTTTCAAACTTTTCAATTTTTTCATCACATCAAAACTTTCCTACACACACAAACTTTCAACTTTTTCGTCACATCATTCCAATTTCAACCAAACTTCTAATTTTAACATGAACTAAACACATCGTATATTTCATATATTTCATGGTTGGTACTAAGAGCATATATGTTGATTATATTTATTTGTTTATTAACACATAAGATTTTCAATTCAATTTCTGGCACAAGCCTTCGGCGACAGTACATTTTTGCATTGGTGTGTGCTATTGGCACCAGGAGCATCACCAAGATATTTTCGAAATTCTATCCACAAAATTATGTTTTAGAATTCACAAACAGAATTTAAAGTGTGAATATATTGATCTATATCCAAGTGATATCTCAAAATTGACTTCCAAGTGATATCTTAAAATTGACTTGCAAAATTTTTTAAGTGGGCCACCTGTAAACTATAAAAAAAATCATTTTTTTTCTCTTGGTCCCACGTGATCACCCGTTCGTGGGTGTCGACCGATCGCAAGCGCGCTTGAAGAGATGCAAGAAAGCGCGATCGAGAGCAAGCATGGCCGTGCATTTGTAAAGAGCGACAACTGGATATAGGGTTTTGAAATTTTGTTCTCTGTATGGGGCAATTGTTGGATCCTTTTTTCCATTAAATCCCTCAAAATATTGTGTTTGGGTTCTATATCGCAATTCTGTTGGATATGTTTTAACCCCTTTGTCTCTTCTTAGTACCAACAAAAACGCTACATTAGCCACTAATATTATTGCTCCCTCTGGTCATTAATATATGTCTCATGCCCAGGGAAAAATATTTCGAGTACATGCAAAAAAAACTCATTAGCACATGATTAATTAAATATTAATTATCATAAACTTGAAAAATAGATTTATTTGATTTTTGTAAACAATTTTTATATAGAATTTTTTTTAAAAAAAATACATTTAGTAGTTTGGAAAATGTGATAACGAAAAATTAGAAGTTAAAGTTTATAGTTGGAGTATAGAACGGGGCCTTAGTTAGTACCAACAAAAACACTAGGCCTTAGTTAGTACCAACAAAAACACTACATTAGACATTCTCTTGGTGCATGAAAAGAGGTACCCACTGAAATATTTATTTATCTGCTAGGGCTAATATTATTTATTATTGCACCCTCTAGTCACTAATTTTATTTTACACTAAAATTAGTACTAATGGTTAATGGTTAAAGTTGAAATTAACAGCGTCATATATTTAACTTTAGAGGGATTAATATATAGGCCGAGTTTAGTTCCAAACTTTTTCTTCAAACTTCCAACTTTTCTATCACATCAAAACTTTTCTACACACAAACTTTCAACTTTTCCGTCACATCGTTCCAATTTCAACCAAACTTCTAATTTTAGCGTGAACTAAACACACCTATAGTTTGCATTAATTAACCTTGGATGACTGATGTTGGTACAGGTGTGGGTACTCCATAAAGGACGACGCAAGCAGAGGTGGATCAACCAGTACAGGGTGGTTGGGATGGACACGTACCACAAGCAGCTCACACGGCCATACTTCTTCTTTTCCCATGGAGAACACTACATGATCATCACTTGGCGGTTTCCATACATTTCCATGCGTGCACACCGGCTCAAAAAAGGCGACGGGGAGCCAAAGGAGATGGCTTTGTTGGAGCAAGGGACGAGCATCCAGGTTTTCTCCTACGTCGAGACAACGGAGACACTGAGGTAGTGCAGGATGTGTTTCTTGGGTATAATTTGATGGTTGGAACAAGAACGCGAATAAATGTGGTTGGAGAGCGTCAGCCTCATGGTTTTCGCTCTATGGAATTAGCCGCAGCCAAAATTTAAAACTTATTTTTTTAGTGTACTTTCTTTTTTATACTGGCCTTTTTATAAAAAAAAGATGACATTCAACTATGTGCCGGTACCTATTACGTTTTATAGTAGTGCTACAGATAATTTTCTTTTCCTGCTAATAAGGTGTTTTTGCTTATAATCAACTCGTGGCCATTCTATATGGGACCTATCATCTTCAAACGCGCGCGCGGACACAAAGAGAGACATGCATCTAAGTGTTTAGTGTTGGGGAATAACCCCATGCTTAGAGTGTTGTATAGGCTAATGCATAAAATAACTAAAATACCCTTGAGCTGATGGTGTACATATATATCAAATCAAAGGGCAAAGATGCAATCTCCCATTACATATGAATAAAATGAACCCTCCAAGGGCAAGGGTGGGGATCTCTCCCCCCATTCCACTCATTCTCATCCTCTCCCATCCACTCTCTTGGTCCAAACAGGATCAAGCTTGGGTTCCCTCCCATTAGAGGGATGCCCTTGCCATGCATGTTAGATTTTGTTCCAACATTTAGTAGCATCATGATCCGTATAATTCGGTCTACACTACTATACAGATGTGATTATCCTGGACGGCGGCACATTTTGGTTCCAGGCGGGCCATAAGTGGCTCCGCCTGGAACCAGGTGAATGCTGGGGTCAGGCTATTGGCCGCACGGGATAATCGACTACCCCGTGCGGTCCGCTTAAGACAACTTCACGGGATAAAACTATTATCGCGTGCGGTTGTCTTAAGCGGACCGCACGGGGTAATCGATTATCCTGTGCGGCCCACAGTAGGCGACTGCTTGCGATGGTCGGGGGGCATATAAGCCCCCAGCCCGACCGTTGCCATGAATTTCCGGCGTTTTCTCTCTCCTAAACATCCACAAATTAGGGGGGGGGGAGTTTTTCGACATCAAATCTAGGGGAAGTTTTTCGACCTCAATTCTTTGATTGGGTTCCACATAAAAGGTGTAGAGCTTGTTCTCCTCCTTCATTTGCTTCCATTTTTGTCAGTTTTCATCGGTGGAATGCGAGGAAACTTGCACTTTTATTAATGGAATAGTGTAGGCACCTTTTTGTTTTTTTTATTTTTTTAGCAAATACATAATGCAATCTTTTACATCTTTATAAAAGTTTTTAGTACCTACATTGAAAAGTTGGGTTTGCCTCTATTAAGTTTATTTTCATTTGGATGAAAGGACGATTATTTTCATTTTTTAGAAATGGACAGTATTCTATTAATGCTTAAAATTGCTGCGCGGCTGTTTAAATATTCCGTAAAACTTTAAATTACTAGGTGATTAGTTCCCTCCAATTTAAATACATTCATGTTTGAATCGGGCATCGATGTATTAATGACAAGCTTTATTTTAGGTCATGGATCGGACATAGATGCACAACACGAAAAGAGCTCATCCAACATTCTTGAAGGAAGCAGCCAAATTTGTTGAGCTTGCAAAGGCACATACTGTGAGGGAGAATTTGAGGAGCATTTTTTGCCCATGCAAAGTTTGTAAGAACAAAATTTTGCTGCAAGATCTAAATGAAGTATTGTCGCACATCGTACAACGAGGATTTAACAAGGGCTACGAGATATGGACTTTTCATGGGGAAGTTGGTGGTCGTAACAAAGAGTTAGATAATTTCTGTTTTGATGATGCAGAAAACTTTATAATCGAAGACATGCCACAGGGAAACATCCCGGAATAAGGTGGCTCAGGTATAGAGAATGAAGGTATTGATTTTGATCTGGAAGATATGTTGCGGCACGTTGAACCAGAGGTCCTAACTGGTACAAGACGAGGGTTGGACAATTGAGAAGCGTTGGAAAAAGCAGCGAAGGAGCTTATGTATGACGAAGCCAAAGGATGCGACAAGGACTATTCGGCCCTGCGCTCGGTGCTCGAACATCTCAGATTGAAGGCCAGACATGGATGGTCGGACACGAGCTTCAATGATTTGATGGATCTTTTGAGAGTTATACTTCCTAAGCTAAACCTGCTTCCGACGAACACATATCAAGCGAAGAAATTGATATGTCCATTGTCTCTAGGTGTTCAAAAGATCCATGCATGTGAAAATCATTGCATACTGTACCGCAAGGAATTCGCGGATTTAAACTCTTGCCCAACATGTGGGACGAGTCGGTACAAGACGGGCAACAGAGCCTCCGATGGAGAGGCGGTCGACAAAGATGATGCACCGGTGGATGAGAACAAAAAGATTCCTAGGATGGTGATGTGGTACGTGCCAGTTAAAGATCGCCTGAAGCGGCTATATTCCAACCGAGACGACGCCAAGTTGATGAGATGGCACCAGGAGGGTAGGAAAAATGACGGTAAGATCCGACACCCCGCCGATGCTCGACAGTGGAAAAACTTTGATGCACTACACCCGGAATTTGCAAAGGACCCGAGAAATGTAAGGTTTGCATTGAGCACGAATGGAATGAACCCGTTCGGTGACCTAAGCAGCACACACAGCACCTGGCCAGTTCTGCTAACGATGTACAACTTGCCTACATGGATTTGCCAGAAGCGAAAGTACATTCTTTTGTCTATCCTTATACAAGGTCCAAGATAGCTTGGGATTAACATAGATGTGCTTCTGGAACCATTGATGGAGGACATGCAAGAGCTGTGGGAGGAAGGGTTACGAATGTGGGACGAGTACCGTAGGGAACATTTTACTCTGCATGCCATCATATTCGTTACGATCAACGACGTACCGACAAACTTTTCACTCTCGGGCCAGTTTAAGGGGAAGTTCGGATGCCTCATATGTATCGACAAGACGTCGTACAAGTACCTCACCTCGTCAACCAAGGGTGTTTACATGCGTCATCGTCGGTTCTTACCTCAGAGGCATAGGTGGCGTGCGAAGGCCAGATTATTCCACAATATAGTAGAGAACGATCTTGCTCCTGAAATACGAACAGGTCACTCTGTCTTCGAGCTGACAAAGAACATTAAGGTTGTCTTCAGCAAGCCAAAGAAGAAGCCCGTCAAGAGGAAAAAACGGACGGATCAGGACACAACTGATGCACCTTTAGAGGAAAGTAACCTGCCCTTCAAGAAGCACTCAATTTTTTTCAGGTATCTTGATTACTAGAAAGACCTGGAGGTTCAGCATGCCATCGACGTAATGCACCTTGAGAAGAATGTGTTTGATAGCACCATTGGCACTTTACTGGACATCCCGAGTAAGGCGAAAGATGGGTTGAAGTCCCGGACCGACCTCGTCAATTTGGACATAAGGCGTGAGCTTCACCCAAAAGAGCTGCCAAATGGGAAGATCGATATTCCTCCGGCTTGCTACTCACTAACACCCGACGAGAAAAAATCTTTATGTAGATGCTTGCATAGTGTAAAAGTCCCGACTGGTTTCTCAGCGAACGTCAGAAAACTTGTATCTTTGAAAGATTTGACCATCTCTGGGTACAATGCTCATGATTGTCACAAGATGTTAACAGTCTTCCTACCGATTGCCATAAGAGCGGTCAAGCCAGTTCACACTCGGTTAGTGATAATAAAGTTGTGCTACTTTTTCAATCGAGTATCACATAAGGTTTTTGATTCTGAAGAGTTAGGCCCCCTTCAAAAATTTGCAATCGAGACAGCGTGCCAGCTTGAGATGTTTTTTCCTCCAGCTTACTTTAACATGATGGAGCATCTGATTGTCCACATCGTACCTCAGATTATCGAGATTGGTCCACTATACATACACCAGATGTGGGCGTACGAGAGGTACATGTCCATGCTGAAAGGGTATGTCCGTAACCGAGCTCATTCGGAAGGATCAATGATAGAGGGGTACACAACTGAGGAGATGGTAGAATGCTGCATAGATTACATGAAGGACGCCGAACCCATCGGTGTGACCCCCCCTTTACACGAGGGCCGGTTAGCTGGGACGGGGATCGTAGGCAAGAAAAGGTTCTATGATGAGGACTTCAAAGATGTAGCGGAAGCACATAGCAGTGTTTTGCAACAGCTCGCCATCGTCGAGCCGTACATTCAGGAACACATGAGAAAGATAAGAGCCCGCAACCCTAGAAGAACGGCCATTTGGATTTGTAAAGAACAGAAATGGAAATTTCTTGAATGGTTGAAGGAGAAAGATCTGTCGTTGGGTGATTCGCTGGAGGAAAAAGCTTTACGCAGGCGAGCAAAATGGCCCAACTAGCCTTGTGACCTCATGGCAAGGGTACGACATCGGCAGATATAGGTTTTACACGATGTTCAAGGACAGGAAAAGCGCAGCTCAGAACAGCGGAGTTCGGGTGGAGGCGTTTGACGCATCAGGTGAGAAGAAGTCTTACTACGGGATCATACAAGATATTTGGGAGCTGGACTATGGCCTTAACATACAGATCCCGGTGCTACGATGCCAATGGGTTAGAGACACAACAGGCGTATTCATCGATGACTACGGCCTGACAGTTGTGGATCGTAGCAAGCTAGGACAAAAGGATGATCCGTGGGTTCTTGCTGAGCGTGTTGCTCAAGTTTTCTATGTCAGTGACCCTTCTGACGATAAGATGGCCATTGCTGTACCGGGAAAGCAAAACATCATTGGCATTGATAGCATTGAAGACGCGTCAGATTACAACCAATACGACGACGTCCCTTTGTTCACAGATTTTCCTAACCGGATCAAGGAAGTTGAGACAAGCCTTGACGAAGATCTGTTTTCGTCCGCACGGAAGGATGGTGTTTCCAAAATTGTCAAACATTAGTGAGATGTCGATCGTGTGTACTACTTTTTTTTTAAACGATTTTGCGAATGAGATGGTGTGCATGTTTATCCGTACTATATGTCGTTCTGAATTTATGTGATGGTCGAGTACTTTCTTGCAAATAAAATTCATGTCTGGTTAATTCTTTGTTAATATAGTTTTGCAGGTTGAGGGAATTTGTGGTTTAATTAACCACAACCTAAATATTGTTTGTGGTTAATCGTGATATAATTAATTATAATTATTAGTTAACTATAATTTAGATGGAATATAATAATTAATACAATCCCATGGACCTATTAACTAATATATATTTAATTTTGCTATATGAAATATAATGAAATATAATTAATATAATAAACCCCAAACCCTGAAATATAATAATTAATACAATCCCATGGAATTTTTTTTAAAAAAAAATTGTGCATTTTTTCTTCCCATGCGGGCCACTTAAGCCGCCCGCACGGGATAATCGATTATCCCGTGCGGGCCCCTAGGTCACCCGCACGCGATGTGCCGCTATAAGGGGTGGGCGGGTCGGCGAAATTTTCTAAGTCCTGGCGAAAATTTCACCGATGCCGCCAGGCTGCCAAATTTCTCCCGCCGCCGACGCCGCCAAAACTGATCCTCCCGCCTCCGCCGCCTCCTCTCCTCCTTTTCTCCTCACCCCACGCCGCCGCCTCCTCTCCTCCTCCCCCCACCGACGCCGCTGACCTCCTCCACTGCCGCCCAGTAATGGATGGAATGATGCAGTGGAATGGATGAATGATGCAGTGGATGATGCATGCAGTAGATGCAATGTTGAATGAAATTTTTGAATGAATGAATGATTTTTGGTTGAATGGATGAATGATAAGTTGATTTGTGATGTTGAGATGATGATGATATTTGTGATAGATAGATGTCTGTTTGTGATAGATAGATGATATTTGAGATGATGATGATAGCTGTGATAGATAGATGGCTGTTTGTGATAGATAGATGATATTTGAGATGATGATGATATTTGTGATAGATAGGACTTGTGCTCTTTGTGATAGATAGATGTATATGCTGTTTTATACATGTTTATATATGTTGTTTTATACATGTTTATTTTGGGTGATATATGTGGGCTGTTTTATGCCTCACTGTGGGTGGTACATGTGGGTGATTTTTGTGGGTGATATATGTGGGCTGATTTATATATGGGTGATATGTGGGCTGTGTTAGATTTGTGGCTGATATATGTGGGCTGTTTTATATTGGTGATAAATGGCCAATGATGAATGCTCAAGAACAGATCATCTACACTTGTAACCTGAATTTTTTTGGGGGCACTCCACCTGTTTTTTTCTCAAGAACAGAACAACTACACTTGTGAATTTTTTTTGGGGGGGGGCACTTCACTTGTTTATTTATGCTCAAGAACAGAACAACTACACTTGTGAAATATTTTGGGGGGCACATCACTTGTTTATTTTTGCTTGAGAACAGAACAACTACACTTGTGAATTTTTTGGGGGGGCACTTCACTTGTTTATTTTTGCACATAAGAACAGACCATCTACACTTGTGGTAAATGATGAATAATTTCTGAGCTGAGGCCATATGCTTTCATAGTGTGCATAGTGATGAATATCCTTACCAATCTTGCTTTCATTACCCATCTTACGTTCCTTACCGATCTTGCATTCCTTACCAATCTCCTAAACTGAGGCCATATAGGAGTCATAGGAAAAAAATAGATATAGGAGGTGTAGTTCGTACGTTATCATGCCGCTATAATACGAAGTGTTCTAGTTGCCAAGTTGGCTTGGTCGGTTTAGTTCCTAGACGGAACCGACTAGTACAAATTGGAAAAATGGAACATTTTGTAAACATATGACATGCGTTGGCCATCCATAAAATGTGCTAGCACGTCTATTGAAAGATAGACCTCTGACTCGTACATGCGTCGGCCTTCTGGATGGACCAGGAGCTCGACGTTTGTTAAGGCCGTTCTTTCCAACCCACACAAGGTTCCGCTGCCTGCATTGTTCCAAGAGTGTCTTGGACGAAAGCAGGAAGTGGAACCTTGTTAGGGTTGGAAAGAACTGCCTTAAGGAAGTCGATGCTCTAGGTCCGTCTAGGAGGACGACTCAGCTAGGAGTTAGAGGTTTATCTTTGAACACACGAGCTAGCCATTTGATCAAAACATGTTATTACTTTGCTGTAAATATAGTCAAAATGGCAATGGACCACTGGCGTTGGTTCCCGAAAGATACCTTCGAGGTTTCTTCTACATGCGTCCGTAAAGGTGTATAGCAAACCATGGGGCGGTTATGATAGTTTAGTGGATTTGAACGAATTATCAATATTAAATTGAGTTTTAAATTGTTCCATTGTAAGAACGCGCATCGAAGATGTCGGGCAAGACAGCTCCGGCAGGCACAGAACCGATGGCACTAACAATCCCCCACACGAAGAAGCTGCCGGGAAGGTACCAGCGTCGAGCGAGGAATCGTGGCGCACACCGAGAGATCCGTTTGAGCTAGAGCTAGCGCAATTGCAGTATGAAAGACCTGAGGATGACCCAGATTATATTCCTATCGGGCAGGCGGTAATAACTGAATCCTGTCCAAATATATATATGGAATTATTAACGTTCCCCGTCGTAGCGGTCTCATGACTTAACCGTGCAGATGGCTACCCATCATTGGTCGAAACGAAGTGCCGCCAGGGTTGAACCTGATTCGGACACAGCGACCTAGGGACCACAGCAAACGGAGACAACGACGAGTGGGGGAGCTTGTCCAAAGAAAAAACGTGGCGAGAAGGGCAGGAACCTGATGCTGAAGGAGACGTACTACATTGCTGCTCTCAACAATGACGGCAAACCCGTCGAGCCGCAACATGTGAGGGCGAAGTTTAGCACCGCATGCGGCACGCTGGCAAGGCTTCATGGGCCTATCAACATGGACGACTGGAAGCACGTTAGCATACACATCAAGAACTTAATGTGGGAAGGTCTGCAGGAGCACCTTATTTATCCGCCTGGGTCAGAGGCACTTGGCAGGAAATTTGCACTGCAAACAATTGCTCATTACTGGCGACAGTGGAAGTCGGACATGAACACCCATTATGTTCAGAAGAATAAGACTACATTTGAAGAATGGGGCACCATTTCGGCAGTCGAGTGGGACAAGTTTGTGGCCAAGATGACAACGCCTGAAGCTCTAGAAAGAAGTAAGAAGATGTCGGACCTGGCGAAGAAGAACATATATCCACACAGGTTAGGGTCAAGTGGATACGCCGGTCACGAGAAGAAATGGCGAGCTACGGAGGAAAAGTTTGCGGCTGAAGGCAAACCTTTGATTGTGCACCCCCTAAACAAGCGAACAAGAAATTGGGTGTGGGAAAGAACTTCGGGGCAAGTGACAGAAGAGGGTGAGATGCTGTTGGACTGTCCGGACATCCAGAACGTGACCACGTCTCTCCAACAGATCGTCCAGAAGGAGAACACCAGGGAGTTCGTCCCTCGACAGCAGCATGATGAGCTAACCGAAGCTTTGGAAACTGCAGAACACTCCGGTAGGGTCAGAGGACAATCGTGCAGGACGGATTGGATGGTAGGGATTCCACAGGAAGCCCAATGTTACAAGAAGCGCGACACCTATAAGGCCAAGATGCGCCAGAAAATCATAGATCAAGTCACACAACAAGTCACCTAACAGTTCTACAGTCTTGCCGCACAACATCCTCAAGCCTTCCTTGACCTGGTTCCTCATGGTTCACAGTCGATGCTGATCCCAAGCTCTGTCGGGTCAGTAGAAAATACAACCTACCCGGTAGATAGTATAACTGGTCCGACACCATGCAGCCTTGTCGTTCTGATAGGGAGAGCGGGAAAAACAAAGGAGGTTACGTCCGGATTGGCGATACCGGGTAGATAGTTCCATAACAGCCTAATTTCGGCGGACTACGCAAGGGTTCAGGTCGCACGTGTTAATGGCGACCAGATGTCGTTGGAGATTGACATCGCAACACCAGAGGGGATTGAACTTCTCGGGGATGCGGTTAACCAGTTCATACTCTGGCATCGTCGTGACATCATCCTCACTGGACAGTTCACGTTGACGACACCATCTCCATCGGTGCCAAATACGGCTGCACCTCCTGCACCGCTGTCCCCTCTGATCTGCACTACCCTACCCGGATCTCCACTCCCACAGATATCACCACTTAGAGGTCCTTCTCCTCCTCCACAACAAGCCGCACCTAACTCCCCAACTCCCCTACCTCGGCAGCCGTCTCTTGCTCCTCAGTCGTATCTTGCTCCACCCCTTGACGAACGTGTGCCACCTCCCCAGCCAGATACATCAAAGGAGCAGCCAAATACCTGTGAAGCTCGGAAGCTCATACTTGTTATGGTTTCCACGTACAACAAGGAGAAAATGGCAGAGTATGAGACGCGGATGGTTTTGCAGTCTTTCAAGGGTCGAGGGGGTCCGCTAAAGCCAGTTGGACCTAATCAGTATTCGGCCGCACAGAAGAGCGTTGTAGGTCTTGCTGACAAAATGCAATCTTGGACCTCCGATGAAGTGCCTAAGGAGTATGAATATGGCAAGCCGTTCTTGCCGTTCAACTTGATGTGTGAATTCCCATGGCCAATGAGGTTGATGCATGAGTGGTACTTGAGGGCAAGTGAGTTAGGTCTCGGGATGATTACTGTGCATGTCCCGGAAGACGCTTTCAAGGATGGACCTAACGCAAACTTCACCTTCACTTTCAAGGACCTCCACGCATTCTTTAAGATGGATAAAATGGATATCAATCTCGTCGGCGCGTGGTGCCTGTAAGCATTCCATGTACTTCGTTATTATCCAATGTGTGCCAATATAAATGTTGGTTATTCTAACTTCCAAATTTCCTCATGTCACAATGGGTAGACGCTCAAAGAATGGGGGCCTCAATCGTTTACGTAAATCCAATGATGGTTTGCGAGACGGCCCACATTGTGCGGATATCGGAGGATAGTG